AAAAAAAAAAAAAAAAAAATAGCTTGTGTAATATAAATGCATCCGTTCCCTTTATCTCTCCTCTCTCGGGTTCTCTGCCTTGCCCCTTGCAGAGGTAGACCCACCATTACCAAAGCCGGCTCAAGCATACATGAAGCATACATGAAGCATGCATGAGGCTTTCCTTCCCCCTGCACCATCCCCCTCTTCAAATGGTTACATCGTCCGCCGTGACCTCCACATGTGTTTAGGTATCACTTCATAGTCAACACGTGCTACTTCATATTTTTGCTGTTTTTTTTTTTTTTTTTCCCCCCCTTTTTTTTTTTTTTCTTTTTTTTTTTTTTTTTTTTTATTATTTTTTTATTTTATTTATTTATTATTTTTTTTTTTTCTTCCTTTTTTTCCCTTTGTGCCTCGCTTTTATTGCCCCGTTAATTTGGAGGCATTTCATAGGATTGCGCTTTTGCGTCGGCCTAGGGTGGGATGTTGTAAGTCGTGCATGCAGGTGAATGTACACACACAGTCGCACGGGGAGGGGGAGCGCCGTGCTCTTGGTGTGCGCACCCTGTGTGCAGGTATGAACCCATACCAGTTACACTCGCGTTGGTACAACTCATCACATCGGGGGGGCTCTCCTCTCGTATGTGTGTCGCAGGTAGGAAAAGCCACGCGCCTATTACTACGAAGAGGTCACCCGAACAGGTCACTGCCCCCCTTTTTTGGTTACCCTAAAGCGTGAACCCCCATCGCGCTTCCCTACCCCTGCACATGCACCCATACTCACACCGCACACTTGTGTGTGTTTGAGCCCTGCTGATCTTCCCCCCCACACCTGGTACTTGCAACATTTTTTGTGACGTTGAATAGGTGCTTCCCAGCATCACAACGAAAATGAACGCACAAGCGAAAAGCGTACAAGGGCGGCGGGCTAGCCCTGCCAAGATGGAGAGAACGCCGGACGGCGAAGCGGAAAAGAAGGAGTTCTGCCTCTTCTACATCTGCGAGCTGCTAAACATGATTTACTCAACCTACAAAAACAGCAAGCCCATGTACGTGCATTTTGTGTGTTCCAAGGAGCGAGCAAGTGAAAGTGAAGCGGATAGCGACCGTGCAAGTGAAAGTAACGGTGGAGGTAACAGCGGTGGAGGCAGCAACGGTGTAAGCAGCAACGGTGCAGGCAAGGCGGATGGAAGAAAAAATGAAAGTAGAAGTGTGTCATCCGGGAGGAAAGCCTTCCAGTACACACCCAGCTCGGTGCTAGAACAATATTTCCCTGACCACTTTAAGAATGTGCATTTCCTGTGTGCACATTATGCCATATGGCCAAACGACCCCAGTAATGACGACAGCAAAGGTCATTCCACCGCAAACCTGAATGATGGACCAAGCAAAAAAAAAAAAAGAGCCATCAACGACAGTACTGGTGAACACAGTAACTCCATTTATCACAAGGAACAGACCTTTTATTTCATTTTCACTTTTTACATGGAGCCAAATTTTTTGTGGGAGGAAATCAACATACCTATATTTCACGATAAGGGTTATATCGAGTGCAAATTTGATTCGATTAAAAATTTAATGAAGCTACATGACGGGGTGAATTTAATAAACAGGTTAAAATTGCGTGCACAGCATAAGACGCTCATTCAGTGCATTCGTGGGGCTAACCCCAATACGGGCACCCTCAACGGGGCTAACCTCAATACGAGCAGTCTGAACGGGGCTAACCTCAATACGAGCAGTCTGAATGGGGCTAACCCCAATACGAGCAGTCTGAATGGGGCTAACCCCAATACGAGCAGTCTGAATGGGGCTAACCCCAATACGAGCAGTCTGAACGGAGTACAGTGCTCGAACCAGTCAAGGGGCGATGTGCACATCCTGCCCTTTTTCATCTCAACGCACCGCTTGCACAAAAATTACCAAGTGTGCCTCACCAGAGTAATTAGCTTTAATGATAGGGGTGTGTATTGTAAGAGGGACCAGGGCGAGGACCTCCCCATTCAGCTGCTCCTTCTCGTAAGAAAGAAGCTCCACAAAACATTGAAGAGCATGCAGAGGGAAGCAGCCCTCGTGTGTCATCTGAGAAGAAGCGACACGAAAGGGGCAGGTGCAGAATGTCCCAATTTCGTTCTCACTAAAGAGGACCCATCCAAGACCAGTAATTCAGATTTTGATTCTACCATGCGCAGTGATGATCATGCAGACGGCACTGCTTCAACCAGTGGCAACAGGAGAGGAGGAGACCTCCATGTCGATCATCCCAACTCCAAGCATGCACAGGATAACCTTGCGGGGGTCGACTATGATGAGATTCATAAACTCATAAATTGTGCAGAAACGATTTTCAAAAAAAGGATCTCAGATCAGCAGCTAGAGAAGTTGCTCCTGCGGACCCACAGCAGGGGGAATACCCACAGTGATGCAACGCGGGTTACTCTCCCCAACCTCCCTAACCTCACCAGCATTGCAAATATTATTAAGGTAGCCAACGGAGGTAACGTGGCAAACCTGAACAGTATAGCTAGCTTCGGCAACGCTGACAGGGGTCTCTCACCCAACAGGGCGAATTACCCAAAAGACGAAGCCATGGATGTACACTTGGCCCACGACGACTATTATGAATTCGTTCGCTCTGGTAAAAGTGAATTAAAAAACACGTTGCGAGATGCGTGGCAGCTCGTTATTGATATTAACAAGCCGAGCAAAAAGAGCAAATTTGCGTAACACACAAAATGTGTGCATTTTTTTTTTTTTTTTTTTTTTTTTTT